ATTTCGCATGTTTTTCGGGATGCGGTTTCCGCTGTTTACCATTTCACGACCCCGGTCGTCAATAGTCGGGCTATTCGAAAAAACTGGGAGATAGCGCCTGGAGTTCGTCTTCCTCTTGCAATGTACACAAAAGCTGTGATGGCTAAAAATCCTTTGAAGAGTGTACTCGTCAATGAGGAGGGAGTGGAGGTTCGCCCTCAGTTTAAGCTTTTTTTTTAGTTTAGAAGTATATCTGCAATTCGTTTTAGATGCATAGACAGACTCGTTTTTTGAGTACCTCTAAAAACGTCAGTGCTGCGGCAGAGTCGGATGCAGAACTCGATGATCTTGAAGATGAAGAAAAGAGAATTCAAGGTGAGCTCCCTTTTTACTCAGAAAGGTTTTTCGTACGATCATTCTAAAACTTACAGTTTACTACTTCGGAGACACGAAAGTGCCTATAGGAGAAGATGATGAATCTCGGTACAATAGACATAATTTTAACGAAGGCGAACAAAGAGGCTGCATGAAACTCATCCAGTTCACTAAAAGAGAAAACGTCAGTGAACCTGATCTTCAAGCTATCTATTAATTATTTCTACGTGGACCACATGAAGTATGTCTACAACATTTGACGGAATCCAATGTTCAGATAAAGGAATGCTACTTCATCGGTCGCAATTCGTTTGTTGTTGTTCCTGGCTGGGAGAAAAAGACTTCCGAGAGAGATCTGGTATGTTTCATACAGGGTCGCGTTCATACTCTACGGGAGAATCAAAAGCGGGATCGGCAATTTTTGAGAGCAAAACGAATCTATCCGGGAGTACTTGCTTAAAGGAGTAGATGGGTGTTGATGGGCACCGGGGAAACGTTCAAGACAATGTCGCTACGCCCACGCCATTTATGGCTCAAAAACCTCGTTATTAGCGGGCGCGATGTCGCTTGCAATGCCTACCAGAGCGGCAGATTACGATCGTCTCTCACATACCCAGGCGGTAGTCCAGCAGGTTGATTCGCCGATTTTTCCATTCCTCCGTCGTAAACTATGAAGCGGCTCAACTGATACATGTCCTGTCTAGCCTGTTTTTTCCACCATCGTGCCACAATCTGAACTTTTTCATAACTAGGAAGCTATGCGTACGACATTGTCGCTGATTTCTGCAATGTTGGAGAACGACGTCGTGGCCATCTGTCGATACGCCCCTGATGCTGCTAAACATCTACAGTTAATGGCCCTTATTCCTCATCGGGATGAAGAGCTCGATTTTGTTGTAAGTTTTGGTATTGATCATTCAGAATCCGGACTGATGATGTGCTGTTTCAGTATCTTCAAGCTTTACGTCTACCATTTGCAGAGGATATGCGTCCGTTCAATTTCGTGAATGTTTCCGAAAGTTGTCCGAAACCGAATCGTGAGGTTTTTTT